GAAACAGACTGTGTCTAGCCAACCTTCCAAAATAAAATTTAAAAGCACTTCTCTGTTAGGAGTTTGGCAAAATGAAAAACAAACAAAAATCTGTTTGCTAGGAACCAGTTGCTGTTAAGTTTTTTTTTTTTTTTTTTTTTTTTTTTAAGGGAGGTTTATGACCTCAGAGGAAACACGATGGTGGATCTTTTCTACTATAATTCTTCTATTTACTCAGCTGAAAGGTTCCACATTGGGATGTGGTGACCAGCACTAAATGCCCATGTGCACAGTTTGGGAAAAGATTTTTCCCTTTACAGACCAGAGCAAGAGAGAGCAATCAAGCGAGCGAGAGAGAGGAATATGCATCTCCCTAGCTTTCCAATAGGTCACAGACTGACTCCTACACCTGACCTTGTTAGGGTAGATTGCTTGTGTGTACTCTGGCCACAGAGCTGCATCAACAGCCTCTCTTATTCTCTAGGCCCTTCCTGGAGGAGCATGGAAGGGTGACTTACAAGGTATCTCTTTCCTGCAGTGATGTTAGAGCATGGCATATCTGAGTGATGGCAATGAAGTGACCTTTTTAAAAAGGGGCTGGTTCTTGTCATTTGTGCCCAGTTCATTTTTTCCAACTTAAGACACTGCATGAAAGGTTTCTTGTGTGTCAGAAAGGGTGGGGTTAGGCCTGGGACTCTGAACAGCCATGACAGAGGTCAGCCAAGATCCAGTCTGGGGAAAGACAGACACTAGGCTGTCCAGTGTATTTGGAATTTTGCTTCATCTCCAAGGATTATGCGGAGAAAAATAATACCTAATTTATAAGCTAATATAAGAATTTATGATGTAATGACTTATGTATATAAAAACTGCTCCCTAAGAAAGTATATCTTCTACAAAATCTTCTGAAAATCATGGAACATGGTATGTACATGTATTTACACATGTGCATGCATTTGCATGTATATGCATATGTAATGTGTGTTTATAGAACTGACACATATATCGCATGGAACTCAGCAGGATGTGATGCCAGGAAAAGCACAGTGAGCCATAAGTTCATTTATATATAGGAAGTTCCAGTAGCTCTCCTAAACTCTTTGTTTTAAAATTTGAATTCTGTACAGATTTAGTGGCCTGTTGAGTAGGACTCAGAAATATGTTCATTAAACTGTAGTGTTGCCTTTTTTAAAAAAAATGTTTATTTTTATTTTATGTGTACGAGTGTATTGCCTGCATGTGTGTAAGTGCATCCGTGTCATGCAATGCCTACAGAGGACAGAAGAGGCCATCAGATCCCCTGAAATGAGTTACGGACAGTTGTTAGCTGTCATGTGGGTGCTGGGACTCGAACCCGGGTCTTCTGCAAGAACAGCCAGTGTTCTTAACTGCTGAGTCATCTTTCTAGCCCCTAGTGTTGCTGTTTGTGGTGGAATCCACTCCACTCCAGAACCTTAGTTCTGACACTGAATTTATTTCAAAATGATTCTGTGGCTTATTTTTCCTTCCCAATCGTCACATGATTTTCTTCTCTTTATATTTCTGAGATTGTCTTTTAGCAGAACTAAACCTCTTCAAAGTATGAGTGAGAAGAAAGGCAGGGAGGTGAGTAAAAACTGACAAAGAAGAGAAAAACAAATAATAAAAATGCAGGGAGGAAATTGCTCTCAGCACATGTGATTGCTTTTGTTCACAAGTGCATGCTCTCCAGGAAAGTAGTGCTGGGCGCGCCTCAATTTTTTAATGTTTGCTTTCTCAAATTTTAATTGGAAGTTAATAGATCTTCTAATTCCTGTTAAAATGAACTTAAATCTAACACAGCAATGGTATACTTAGGACTGGAAGAGCAAGTGACAGATTACTGTATTTTCCTCTGTCGGCTTTAGGGAAGCTGTATAATGGTGTTTTGTGGGGGGTCTAATCTCCCATTAACTCTGCCCATGTAATTAGATGAATTAGATGTGTATAATTCTTTCTTTCTCTCTCCCTCCCTTCCCTTCCCTCCCTCTTTTCCTCTCTCCCTCCATCTCTCCATCTCTACCATATACAGTTGACCCTCGGTATCCATGGGAACTAATTCCAGGACCCCTTGAAGATACCAAAACGTGAGGATGCTCAAGGCTTACATAAAATGATGCAGTATTTGCATATAAAGCATGCACATCCTCCCTTTACTTTACAGCATCTCTGAGTCACTCATTAGGGCTACTACACTATAAGTGCTATGTAAATTGTAAATAGCTGTGATGCAATATTGTTTAGGGAACAGTGCCAGGCAAACATGTCTGCATGTGTTTAGTATACCTGCAATCATTTTCTTCATTTATTTTCAGTCTTCTATTAGTTAAATTGATGCAGACCAGTCTATAGGTATAAATATATAAATATATAAGCATATATACACATATATAAATGTATACACATATGCATGTATGTATGAGAGTCATACACATATACATATATAAGGGAGTTTTGATGACATTATTGACATTATTTCAAATTAGCCCTAACTTGAGCATCATCTTACCCATGACAGGAATCAGGGAGTAACAAGGACAGCTTCCAACTCTGCCCAGGAGGACATCATCCGATGGTTCAGAGAGGAGCAGCTGCCATTCCGAGCAGGGTTTCAGAAAAACTCAGACACCATCGCTCCCTGGTTCCATGGTGAGTGCTGAGACCATCTCTGATGACAGTCAAGTAGTGCCAAGTCCCAGGAAGACACAATGAAGGAAAGCTTCCTCTCCCTTCTTCGTTTGTACTGCCCAAAAGAGTCTTTCAAATTATTTTCCAAAGAGTTTCCTCAACAGTTTCTCAGAAAGCTGCCTCATGCCTCCTTAGAAAGCCATCAGCATTCATGGCCTTGTACATGCTGTGGGCTAATTCTTCACCACAATGCCCCAGGGAGAATGGGGAATGTAGGGCTTCCTAGGGGCTCAGAGGAGGGTGCTTGATTGTGACTAATACGTGGCAATGTTTTCCTCCACCAAAACATCAGCCAGCTGGGGTTGTTGGGGATGGACATGGTTGGTAGAAGGCCAGCCATGACCCAGCTCTCCATTAACTAGTTGAGGGACCTTGAGCAAATTGTGGTCTTTTTCTGTAGCCGGTTAACCCACTTGAGCTGCATTTTTCTCATCTCTTAAATGAGGAATTTGAGCTTTTGGATCTTAAGAATTCTGTCACTTTGATCCTTTCTTCCCAGTTCTCTAGTAACGCTACAAGGTAGAGTTTTTGGTCTTTGGTAGGTATTAGCTAATCATTTCATTATTTCACCTAAGGGACTTGAGTAAATTTCGAGAAAAGTTGGTTTCTTTAAGACCTCAACTCATTCCTTCAAGGTCTGTGGTTAGGAGAGAGGAGTATAGCTCAAAATAGGAAACACCTGTGGATCCCAGCATGTTGCTTGTAATACACAAAGCACTCAGTTCTAATCTTAGCATAGAAAAGGAAGGAAGGAAGGAAGGGAGGGAGGGAGGGAGGAAGGAAAGTAAGGAAAATAAGGAAAATAAATTCCCATAATTGAATTAGACTAACTGGTACTTTAATATACAAATCCCTCCCACTTAGCATATATCTTAAGAGTGTCTTGGTTTGAATTATTTAAGGCATCTCTCTTTTAAGTAGTGCCATTGTACACATAAGTAGACCACAGAAAATAAGCTCCCATGAGTGCATCATGAGCAACCTCCTCTACAGTGCACCAGCCCACCAGTGGTAGGATTTCTCCTCAAGCTGCTTTTGTAGCCTGACCATCCTAGCAGATCTGTTAGGTGTCCTTGATCACACATGTGCTTTGAAGATCAGACTCTGGCTCTTGAAGAGACCTATCCCCTTACTGGGCCAGTCATGAGCCGCATCCTCAGTCCCTTGTTCTATTGTGATGATGTCAGAGACTAACAGAAAGAACTCAAGCCAGTTTTACAAGCCTTCACTGTGGCTAACTGCAACCTACTGTTACCTTGCTTCCCTTTTAAGATAAGCACAGGGGAAATTGGCTACTTTGTGGTTTCTGTGTCTCTGGACAGTTTCTGTGTGCTGTCATGCCCAATAAGAACAGTGGTAGTTTGTTTTTGTTTTTTAAACATCAGGGAATAAAAAAATGGGAAATGTTGGCTGATTTATTAAGAATTCTGGTACTTTAACTGGCTGTTCTATTTGAAAGAGTTGTTAAAAGCTTTGGTTAAAAGTTCTTGAGTGTTAGCCGGGCGTGGTGGCGCACGCCTTTAATCCCAGCACTCGGGAGGCAGAGGCAGGCGGATCTCTGTGAGTTCAAGGCCAGCCTGGTCTACATAGTGAGCTCCAGGACAGCTGGGGCTACAGGGAGACCCTGTCTCAAAAAGACCAAAAAAAAAAAAAAAAAGTTCTTGAGTGTTATGTATAATAATTTATAAATGTGACATGTTTATTGATTTGTTCTTATTTATACAAATAGTTATAGTTATAAGCAAAATAAATAATGCAATTAAAATTAAGTAATGTGATTAATGCATAGTCAGGTGGTCAATATATATCCTTTGCTTCATTTTTAGGGAGACAGAATTTCACATTTTCATGACAAAGAGAGGACACATTATACATTGTCTCTTTGAAATACAATTGGTGACTCATTTACCATTTACTGCTACATAAAATGGTGATCACCCTTGAACATGTCTCATTGTACCCACATGTGACAAGTTCTTCAGAGAATATATCCAGATGTAGAAATACTGGTGGGAGAGGCTAGGCATTTTTAACCATGCAGGTTGGACATTTCTAATCCAAATATCCAAAACCAGAAATCCTCCAAACCCTGAGCCAGCGTATTCTTTGAGTGTTTCAGAGTTTTGGAGGATTTTATATTCTATATTTTCTGATTATGAACGCTCAGCTGGCAATCTATTTAAATGTGCCAATATTTAAAAACCTCCCAAATTGGAAACACTTGTGGTCCCCAACATGTTGAAGAAGAGCTGCTCAGTCTGCAATAAGTATTGCCAAGCACTTATGACCCCAAAGTGATCACACCAATCAATGCCTACTTCCACAGCCGTCCCCGAGTTGCTGTTTTTCTCTGTACTTCTCGGCGCTTAGCACTGCCTGGTCTTATTTTCCTTGCATGTTGTGGTTCCAAAATAGAATCTTCAAGACTGGAGACGTGGCTCAGTGCTTAAGAGCACTGAGGACCCAGGTTCAGTTCCTAACACATTGTGACTAACAACCATTTATCACTCTGCACTTTAGTTTTTGAGACAAGATTCTCACTGACCTTGATGTTTTGGCTGGCTGCCTGTCTCCATGCCCCCCGGTTCTGGGGTTACAGATGCCATACCACGCCTAGCTTTTATGTGGGTGTTAGGGATCTGAACTCAGGTCTTCAGGCTTGTGCAGCAAGCATTTTGCCCACTGAGCCATCTCCTCAACCCCCTTGACCACTTTGAAATGTGCAGTTCAGCACTCTTGCTTATTTTCTGCAGTCTAGGTAGTCTCTGTGCCATGTATTGGTGTGAGGTGTAAACTCTAGGGCCTCTCAGGTCTTCCCTGAGTCTGTGCCTTTCCCTGTGTATGTAGTGACGTTCTAATTTTATACCACCTACACAGCTATGTTTTAAAATATTTTTATTGAGCTTTTGTACATTTCATACAACAGTTCTTAATCAAATTAAGACCCCCTCCTCCATCCATGGTCCCCACCCACCAGGCCTCATGTGTTCTGCCATATATGTTAAGTCCCATCTGGTCAACCATTATGTGTATGGGTGTATTGCCTGCATGTATGTGAGTGCACCCGTGTCATACAGTGCCTGTGGAGGTCAGAGAGGGTGTTGGATCCCCTGGAACTGGAGTTATGGATGGTTGTTAGCTGCCACATAGGTGCTGAGAACCAAGCCTGAGTCCTTTACAAGAGCAGCCAGTGCTCTAAATCGCTGAGCCATCTCTCCAGCCCCATACACAGCTATTTTTGAATGCCCCAGACTTTCATGTCTACCCCCAAAAAATGGAAAGAAAGAAAAATCAAAGAGCGAAGGAGTTTTAAACTTAATGTTCAGAACATCAAGGTGAATTGTGTTTTTCTCCTCTGCAAGAGAAGAGGTGACAGATATATCATGGGGCTGTCTCCATAAAGCAAATCAGAATGTGTGTGTGAAGAGTTCAGAACAGCTGGTAGAGCACAGTGCTTCTGCTGTGGCTTAGCAGAGTGCAGCAGCAAAATGTCTTCATGTGTGTTGCTCTCCCTGTCCTCCTGTTAGCATAACCCTACCATTCTGCGAGACAGAGTCATACACAAGGAACATGTGGCTTTTCAGTAAAACAGATCTTAATACTGCAAAACCTGTCTCATTCAGAAGTACTTATTTAGGGCCTGTTCTTACAAAGGCAACAGTGACATGGAAGGACACAGGTTGGAAGTCACCACAGAGTATCAGAGAGTTCTGATTATTGGAGGAGGAGGAGGAGGAGGAATTGTTTGGGGGAGGTTTCAGGACAGGACATGGCAGGTCAAAGCTGAACTTTTGGGGGAGGGGTGTAGCCATGAGGAGGTGGGACGGATCTGCTGAGGTAATGGCTCTGTCTCCTAGTTGTATATTCTTCTGAGTACTATCATTAACTCTACTTGGTTGGTTTCCTTAATGAGAGGGATTATTTATTTCCCTTCCTCACCTTGGTCTCTTCCCATCCTATTGTCCTAGACCCCAGTTGTCAGTTCAGGAGTATCTTGACCCTTGACTACAATCCTTGCTTTTATTTGTCTTATCCTTGCACCTACTTACCATGTTCCTGAAGTTGTTAAGACGCTTTGCCTACTCTTTGGTGTTTATAAAGTATGAGATAACTGCCAGAGGGTCCCTGTGGCTAACTGACCAACAAGGTCACCAGGCTTATTATGGCTCCAGATTCCTAGTCTTCAGACTATGTTGATGCACAATTGATTATACTCACTGAAGAGCTTCGAGGCCTCCTTGAGAAAGAGCCAAAGAATAGACACAATTCAAGTTTGAACATCCGTCCAGAAACCCACAAGTTCTTCATTCTACCAACATTTCCTGACACCTCCCAGATGGCAGCAGAATATTCAGGGGTCTTAGAAAGCTCCAGAGACTGGGAGGAGGGAGGTGGTGGAAAGACAGAAATGAAGATGGAAACATACTTCTAGTTTAGGACTTTTCCAGCATTTTTGTTGTTGGATAATCCTCTCGAGTATTTGCTTTGCACATCTGTGCTTGAACATTATTATTTTTAATTTCTTTTCTTTTTTAAATTGAATTTTTTGTGAATTTCATACATTTTGATCCCATTTAGATTCCCTTCCCTATCTGCACCTCCCCATGTTACACCCCATCCATATTATAGATATGGATATAGATATAAAGAGAGTCATTAAGTATCACACACACACACACACACACACACACACACACATATAAGCATACAGTGTCAACTTTGTGTCCCCAGATGTCCTTTACTGTGGGTCCATCCACTGGAGCCTGGTTAATTTACCAGGGTCACACCCTTTAAAGAGACTGACTCTCCCCCTCCCAGCAGTCATCAGTTCCCAATAGTTCCTCAGTGGGGTTGGGGGTCTCTTACCCACTTCCCCACATCTTTGCTGAGATTTGTCTGACTTGAGCTTACATGAGACTTGTGATGCTGCCACCATGGCTGTGAATTCATATGAGCAACTG